CCCCAAAACCCCAAAACCCCAAAACCCCAAAACCCCTAAGGATTTTATAAAATTTGAAGAAAATGAATAAATTAAGTAAGCTAAGGATATCCAAGAGGTTACTAATACTTTATACCAAGAATTTAAATATTGGGCAATAAACGAATAAATAGACACTGAAACTGACTCAATTTTGGAACAGAAAGACCAAGAAAAAGGCATTCTAGAGCACTTTTTCTTTGACCAGAAGCCTAGTGAGAATGCAAGGCCAATGTCTGGCACTCAAATAAAGAAAGGGAAGAGCTTGAGTGATTCTCTGAAATATGTTGATACAAGATCTAAGGTATTTTAGGTCATAAAATTTAGATTTCTAAAAAAATGAATAAATAACAGAAGAATTTCAAAAATAACTCAAGATTTTGATAGTGAATACTTTAACTCAATGCTTGGAACCATTACTGAGGAAGAGAAAAAGAATGAACAGCTGCCTTCAATTCTTGACCAAATGCCGAAGGTAGATTTCGGAAAAATTTTTGGAATGAAGAAAATCCAATGGAATATTGATAACTTCCACGATTCAGACGACTCAAGTCTTGATGAATCAGTAAGAACAGTCTCATCCTTAGGTAGAAAATGAGTATTGGGATGGTATATCCGAATCTCCAAAACCTAAAGATACAGAAAATCTATCAAAGAAGGCATCTCAAGCTTCATTTGTCTCTAAATCTCTGCTTATATCCACAAAGTAAAACCTTTAGGTCTTACTTTTTAGGAAATCACACATTGAGAATCTAAAATAAGGTCAGAAATGCCTATAGACAGGTGTTGAAATAACCAGAAATCCCAAATGACAGGCACGGTCTCCAAAAAGGTGGCCTTCTACAGTAAGTTTGGCTGTTCAGGCTCTTCCAGCCTCTAGAGCATAATTTAACCACCATAATTCCAAATTTAGAGGGATACATTGAGAGATCAGAGAATGCTCTGAATAAAGAAATCCGTGAAATTTTAAAGCAATTTAAGATATACAAATAATATAATCTTGGAAAAGGTAACAGTACAAGTTTGCTATAGCTCTAGGAAGAAGAAAAAACTAAATTAAGACAGTTTATCGGAAAACAAGAGGTCTTGGTGAGTCTTTGTCCTCATGGTGCAATGTTCAGCATGCTCGATGTTTAGACATCTACTTTGAAATGTATTCATCGATATTTTAGATATCACAAATGAGAGCAATACATGCAAAGCACAAATACAAACCAGGTAATTAAAATTATTGCTAGGTGCTCAAGTCCTAATTTCATCAAGATTGTTCACTTTCCCCCAAAATAGTTAATACCTTATTCAAACTAAATAGACCAAAAATCTAACAAAGATGAAGAAATCAAGTATCTTAAGGTAAAAACCTGTCTCAATAATAGCGAAAATAATGAACATTTACAAAAAGATATAAAAATAATGATGAATGAAAGTAAAGGTCTCAAAGAACTCTTTGAAGAGTAATTAGGCTATCAATCATAGATATCAACAAGATCTAATCAAGGTCAATAAAGAAAATGAAAGCCTCAAAAATCAGTTGCAGGAGCTCGAGAACAGGTACAATCACCTTCAGATCATCTCAATAAATGAAATTGACAGCCTTAATGCAAACATCAAGGGCATTCTAGACCAAAAATAAGCTTGACATTCAAAAGCTAAATGATCAAATTCAAAATGGTATTTTAACTTCTTAATTTTGTAGAAAGAACACATTTTTCAAAAGAAAAAGGCAAACTCTCGGCAGACATAGATAAACTCAATGAAGAGCTTAAGTCTGTTAAGACTATCCTCAGATATCCCAAGTTATATAGAAGATATTTCCAGTCTAATTACAAGGAAATCAAGAAAGCTGTAGATACTGAATGATCTTTCCTAGGAATTAAGCCGCTAAAATGTCTTAAGAAGCAGAAAAGAGGTATAAAGACCGCAGTGAGGAGACCAAGATCCTCTAGACGCTTTTTAGCAAACTCTACAAGCCAGATACCACCTAAAGAGATGAAAACAAGACAGAATTCATTATTTTCTAAACCTAGAGATGTGTCTCAGAACTTATCGTGATTTAGCTCATGTACTTCCCTAAATAAGTCCCAGTTAGTGAACTCTTGATTGTTAGGACCACCTAATGAGGCTGTTGATTCGAGAGTTGCTCCAATACCAGGTTCACATAACAGCTCCATGTGCACCCAGCCGAGAGATAACCCACAAGCCTCCAGTATATTCAAAAGGAATCACAAGTTTAGTATAAATCTGACCCATAAATGGTAAATTTAATTAATAAATTTTCAAAAATCCAGATGGAGAGGGGTTTTGGGGTTTTGGGGTTTTGGGG